TACAGTAATTATATAAGAAAAAAATACATTGCATAAGTTGTGATTCTTACCAAGCGGCAAGTAAAGAGAACCTTCAGTAAATGAGATATTTATTGAAAAGAAGAAGAAAATATGTACAAAAGATTGAAAGTCATTTCACCAAGGCTAACATTATGTGCTGCTTGTGTAAAATGTATATTAATTTTTTTTCCTCCTTGAGGGTGGGGTATTCAGACATTGAATGAAAAGTCCAATGATGAAGGGAGGGTAACTGCCAGTTACAAGGTTGAAAACTGCTCCAAAACTCAGGCAAAACCCATGTATTTTTTTTTCCTGGATTCTCAAATCACAACATTCCTTAACTTGAAACAGGTGATCTTGATCCAAACCAATCACCCCACAACAAAGGCAAGAAAATGAGGTTCCATTTTTTGCTTGTGATGGGAATTTATTCAAGTTGATGTCCTTCGCCATTGCTTCTTCCCTTTCTTTTGAGGCAGCTTAAAAGGACTCCAACTCTTTCTACGTTTGGAGGTCTCACAAAAAAGGCCAGATGCCAGGGCCTGCTGAAGCCACAGCTCGAATTCTTCTTCATCCTCATCCATGATTTCAGCATCCAAGTCCCATGGATATCTGCTCGAGTTGGACCGTTGAGTCTTCTCCAAGCCAACCATGTTTACATGGAAGCTTGGCCTATGGGTGTTGGGCCGACATTGCATTCCCTGCAAAGAGTTTTCATGATTTAAAATACTGGAAAGTGACTTCTATTTGCTTATAATTGAATCAGTCAATTTTCAAGTCATAGGCACCAATGATGCAAGACCGTCTTGAGGAATTGAAAGATCCAGTCATCAGTCATTTCCATTAATGATGGTTGGAAAATAATGAAGTGAACCTCAAGTCGACAGTGAGAAAAATGGTTTGAAATATGCCAACATGGAAAGGCATTTTTTGCTGGAACATAGGATCTTCTCGTCTGACAATCTGCCAAGTGTGAATCTAACAAAGTGGAAAGAGCAGCAAGTGGCCAGTTTTTTTTGCTACCTTGATAGCTTTCCTTTTATTTTTCAGAAAGCAAATCAAAGATAAAATTAGGTATCTCAAAATCCATTAACATGGGATTTAGATTCAACAGCTTGTTTTTATCAAGGGTATTTGATTCAGCCTTGGATTTACAAAAGGGAAATTTGTGATTTCAGTAAATTTTATATGAAAATAAATACTTTATAGCTATTTAAGAAATATGAAAATTTCTAAGTAAGATTTAGATTTTTCTTTCCTAGTCAAAATAAGAACATAGTATTTCTTATTTAGGAGTCCATGTCTATGATTAATATGCTTATATTCTTTCAATTTCAGCATAATAAATATTATGAATATAGGGCAGACCTTTGATTAACTTGTTGAGTAAGGGGTGCTTTCATTAAGGAGTGATCCTTTAAATCCTACGAACAATAGTTAAGTTTTTTCTATAGTGCTTTCTTTTAGATAACTAATTCTACAACCATAACCGTAAAACAACCATCTACAACTTCCACTGAACTGTCTTGCATCCCAATTAAGTTCAGCAAGGCAAATGAGCTTGGAGTTGTAAATTTCACAGATCATGAAATTGTAACTTCTTTTTTCATTCACAACAGAGTTACAATGGCATATCTAAAAAAAGAAAACAAAATCAGCAAACACATGAAAAAGAGCTACAGACCTGACAAATGGCCCATTCTGACACATCAAAGATTTTGCTCTCAGCACAAACAAATGCACGCGGAATCTCCATCTAAAAGAAATGAAATTGAAATGCTTAGCATAATGAACAGTTGACAACATTCACAATATAACCTCAAATGAATCTGTGGAATTATCAGACATATTTACTGCACCCTAGACAAAACAACACAAAGGAATGTACCTTCTGAGGCCTATCGAAGACCAATGTGCCTTTATATTCAACCCATCCATCTCCATCTTTGGCTTGATGATATTGGCAGCAATCCTGAAGCAAAAATTACTTTTTATATATAATTTTAGATGAAAAATAGAATTGGAGAGTGAGAATTGGAAGACTGACCTGACACCATCTTGCCTTGGCCTTGGTCCTATTAGTGCACACCCATATATGTGAAATGCCACATTTGGTGCACTGTATCCGCCTGGATTCCTCAGAGCAGTAATCTGGATTATCCTGCTTATAACAGTAATAGGCTTAGAAATTGCAGTAATCAATAATATTCCCTATTATCAGTGATTTAACTCAGAACCATGTGAATTAGTTCAAAATTCAGCATGCAACTTCACATATCTGCCATACATATCATATGAACTTGGACTTGGGAGGCAGGTTCCCAAGATTAAAGAAACCTCTTGCTGCTTTGACCAACCTTACAATGCCTCGCCATTTTAACAACTAATGAATAATCATGAGCCTAAAGTTAAAAATACCAAGTGAAACATAGAATCACCCAGTAAATATATTTTCATGTTTGCAAATTGTTGCCCCAGCTTATGCTTTCTCAAACAAAAATAGCTTATCATTATCCTGTTCTGGTTCCATCAAAGTGTGGTTCAAATGGTGGAGAACTGGATAAACTGACATTCAACATTTTAAAAGAAGTGATTGCTCTCAGGAAGCAATAGCAGCAAGTTAAAGAAAAGCCATTGCACCAAAGATAGCATTCACAACTCATTGCACAAGACAAAGCTCCATCAATTAAATGTTAGTTTGATAACAAGATTCCACATGGGGAGCAGTCTCAGGTTATGTTTGGTATGATTTTAGCAAATTGATTTAAGTTGTTTCCTTTTTAACTTTTGACTCAAAGAAAATTCATATGTTTCGTTGGAAACAACTTTTAACTTCATCAAAAGTTTGTTACAAAATGGACTCAAAATTTTTCTTTAGACAAAAGTTCAAAATTTTAATTTGTGCATTCTAACTTGCACTATTCTCCTTTCAAAAAGATGCCTTGAGACATTTTTACCATACTTCTATCTTAAAGTCATTTGAACTATCGTGTAAGTTATTTATAAGAATATAACTTTTGAATTATGACTCAATGTCACAAATCATAATTAAAAATCAAGCCAAACAGAACCTTAGCCTCCTCCACATCTGGTTGTTTTATTTTTTTAATGAGTTTCACACAAATGACAACTAAAAAAAAAACGAATTCCAACTATTGACTATGAGGCAGAAAAACATAATGACAAGCAACACCGCATTAATTACCTGACATGAAGTACCATGGGACTTCTGACATACACTCCTAGTCTTAGATTCTTCCCTTCTCAGTTGCTCATCATAGTCTCTCTTTTTCACAGAATCTGACAGAACCTGTACATTGTATCATTTTGTTCAGCAAAAAGGACATTAACCAACACATTCTTAGCTTTTTATGTTTCATCTCTCATTACTTACTCCAATTGAGAGAGAGACTTTCAGTGTGGATGCTTACCTCATAAGCACATTGAAGTTTCTTAAATGATTCACTTGCTAAAGGGCTTCCCATATTTTTATCAGGATGTACACGCATGGCCTGCATATTTAACAGCATAAAAAGGAAATCAGTAAGCCTACTTCCCATTCCCCACTGACCCCAGCATTTATTTGTGTTTTTTTTTCTTTTCCATAGCAAGGGTTAATCTATTTATACATCAAGAAGAACTAGAATTTCAGAAATAGGAGGGCCAGCATGAGAATGCTACAAGAGGAACTTGAAAAGGAATGAACTATTTAATTTCTAGGTTGGGGGGGGGGGGGGGGGCAGATGTGGTACTAGCAACTCATCTTGCTTACAGATCATAAATGACATTTTACCCAGCCATGGACACATCTATGCAAAATCAACAAGCAGGTTTCTTGAAAAATCAAAGGACAGATGCCTATGGTGGATTCACCCCTAGCCCCAAACATTGTTCTCTTTCATTTACCCTAATCAGGCCTTTTAACTGCCAGGCTGAATGTAAGGATTTCTGTGCTACATTCCTAGGGTCCTATTGTAGCAAATTTTCTGATACTAGGGCTTCTTTTTTTTAATGTGACCATTCTGGATACTTGGGGAACCATTGTGATATCTCATTTAGTTGCACAAAACAATCTATAAGAAGATACTAAACTATTGAGTAATGGCCTCTCAGAAGTGAGAAAACTAAAATGGTTACTGGTGTTAATTTTAGAAGAAAAGAAACACTTACCTTTTTATGGTATTCCTTTTTCAAAATAGCAACATCAATTCGCTTGTGGCGAGAAAATCCCAATGCTTCATAATGATCCACACTATCTAATATTCTTTTCATCTCATTGGTTGAGCTTGTTTCTTCTACAACTACTTTTCTAGTGGAAGACTCTCTCTGGTTATTCACAACAGATGAGCTAGCAGCAGGGCTAGGTGATTTGCATGGTTGCACCTTTTCAGATTCATCAACAGGAATCGAGAATTCACATTCCACAGAGAACTCATCTTCCAGAACTGTTTCAGATTCCTTATGCTCTTCAAATTGGGTGCTTTCACTAACATTATCACACCACTGAAGTAGAAAGTTTAATACATCATTTGAGAAAAAGGTGAGGTTTATTGATAGGAAAACACCATGCCATCCAACTCGAACTTTCACACAATAAATAGCATATATAGTCGCCATTAAGACCACTAGCCGTGCATGATTTAGAGAGAACAAATAGCCTGCATTTACATAATGAAGCGAATTAAATTTCCCAAAGTTGGGGGGGGGGGGGGATCATCTACTTGCACTAGGAGCTCAACTTACCTCCAACTATAAATAATGTTCCAGTTATCCAAAAGTTAGCATACATCCATAAAATTAAAATAGCAAATAGCCCTACAATAAAAAGTCCAGGAGTGTAGCCCAAATACTGAACAGCAGCTCCTGCAGCTCCCTGAAATATTGAACCCACTGTCAGTGGCATTTTAATGAAATTTCCCTTTTCAGAAAATTCACTTGAATCACAATCCCTGACAAAGCCAATGTATCTAAAGGCCTTGTTGGTTTATAGAAAACCCACCACCTCTGATCACCTTTTTAGTGATATTTTTGTTATAAACTACACTGAGTTTCAGATCCACGATTATTAATGAACTCAAATGCTTAATGTCAAAAATTGCAAATGCATGGAGGCAATCAAAAGCTGAAAGCAGTCCAGTAATAAAGTTGCAGACATAAAATACATGATCACAGCTTTAAAATCTATCATCCTCCCCTCCTCCCCTTGCCAGAAAAATAAAATAAAATAAAATAAAACAAATAGTGGGCTAATTTATAACTAAATGTGGGAGCAGCTGAAAGCGGACAAATGAGAAGGTTGTGAGCATAAAGACATCACCACAGCATTAAGCTCTATCATTTTCTCCCCCAAGGGAACAAATGAATTGGAGGCTAATTTAGAACTAAATGAGATCAGAAGCTTCAGGCACCAAACCTATAAACATAAGCTTCAAATACCTCTTCAGTTTGGATAATAAGTACTCTATATTCGTTGAATCTAAAGTCTTAAGGTTTTTGCACTTCCTGAAAGGAGGTAAGAGTTCTTCTAGCCTATGTTTACCTGTAACTAAAATTTTAGATTTATTGCTAGTCAATCCCAGATGCATGCACAAACACCACTCTGAGACTTCAGTTCTATTAAGTTCTTATTTTATTTAACCAGGTATTGAGATCTGAGCTTGCACTTGAACCTTTTCTTTTATAATCTCTCTCTTAATCCGGTGAATTTCAGTCAGTAAGAGAGTTGTGGGATACTGCATAACAAGAGTTGCATGCCAAATTGGTGATTGGGTTATGTAGGATTCATGGTCAGGTTCCTAGCATTTCAGGATCCAATTCATTAATTTTTTAATTTGGTTTCATGAAAAACCCACAAGAGCTTATACCACATTTTTTGACAAACTAGTTTCGAGATTGGTATCATCAGGGCAGATAGCCAATAACCTTGCATTGTACAAAAACATAAATTAAACTCCACATTGTTATTACTAATTTTATTCACTCTCCACCTGATATTCAGATGCTAATTATTAGAATATCTAAGATTACAGACATCTTGAATATGCCACAATATAAATTTGAACACCATCATACAACTCAAACATTAATAAATCGGAAATGCATATTCAAATGATTGGATTACAAAATAAAAAAAAATGATAACGACATGATCAGAATAACAATCAGGTGCGAACAACAAGAGAAAGTTAAAAGGCTAAAATAAGAGAACATACCATACAAAGTAGTACATAAAGCAAGCAAGACATTGAAGTGAGACTAAGGAAGCAACTCCACATTATAAGAAGCAAAGCTGCCGAGCCCAGTTTGATAACAGAATTAAAACCCCTCGTAGCGCAATCTTTCCAATAAATCAACATAAAACGCATCAACCTCCCAAATCTTGCACATCCACTGCACACCATAGGCCAATGCCTCTCTATAAACACTCCGATCTTGTCCCTCAAACACCCCACTGCAGTTTTGACCCGTGAATAGACATGTTTCTGCGTTTGCAACCATTTCCACCCTTGCTTAACCAGGCCAATATCCTCCATTATCAAATTTCTAACTATCTAACTAACTCCACAAACACATAAATAAACACAACCCACAACTTAAATAAGCATCTAGATCTTCATACACTACAATCTATTCATATCTCCATAGATGTAACCCCAAAATCCTCTGTCTCTCACACAATGTGAAGCTAAGACATGAATGCTATCCATAGTGAGAGAGGCTTGATCTACCAAAACTACCATAAAGCAACCTTGATCGGAGAGATTTCACAGGTTTCTCGAGGTTGCAAAGAGAAACAAGTGAAGTGAAGGTTCCTATTCTAGTAGTGGGAGATGAAAAAGGAGAAAGACACTCATGAAAAAAACAGTAAAATCCATCAAGTTCAACACTAAATTTTGCTTCACATGTACGTTTTCAAAAAAGCAAGATCAACCCAAATCATTCTCCTTTTTTTATTTTTGACACTAATGTCTTTATCAGTGACCTCTCTCTCAAGACGGAACACAAGGCAAAAAAAGAAAAAAGACCCAAAAGAGAAAGAAGTCAGGAACTAACAGTAACTGTATTAGGGTATCATAAAAACACCATTTAGATCCCAAAAACTCAGAAAATAACAAGAAAGATTCAAACTTTAACCAGAACAAGAAGATACAACAACTGGGCACAGTTGGGTTTGGTGGGGTTCACATAATAGAGGGCTAAACTGAACAAATGACCACAAAACTGGGATTATTGCAAGAACTACTAAAAAGGGTTTCTTTAAAAGAGAGAGATTCGGAAGAGAAGATAATGATCTATTGGCTTTGGTGGTGAAGAAAGACAAGAGAAACCCTAACTTTTTTTTTCTTTTTTAGCAAGTGCAGAGAGAGCTCGTGAAAAAGAGACAATGAGTTTCAAAAAGTGAGTTTTTTTATTAAAGCGGAGAAAGAAAAGAGGAGTTACTGAGATTGCAAGAAGCGAATGTGAGAGAGACAGAGAGAGATAGAATTTACTTTTGGCATTCTGTGGCGTTGAGGATAGAAGAATTGGATGAGTAATGCTTTGCATAATAATGATTCAGTGGGACCAACTTCGCGTCTGTTTTTTTTATGGTTAATGGATAAAATAGCTTTAATAGAATGCATCCGTTTACAGGATAGTTGTTGTATTTAACAACTAACAACGAGAGCTCGATTTTAGTCACTTTTGTGTTGGGCTTCAATGTGGAGGTTAGCTTCTGTTTGCACCCATTTTAGACCAAATAGGGTTTGATGGGTTTTAGGCCATTGAGCTCTAGGGCTTGTGATATTTGTCGGCTTGCATTCAGCCCATGTCATCTTTATAAACTAGCTATTTAACCTGTTTTATATCATAGTTTTTTTATTTAAAAAAAAGTAATCAGTAGATAAGCTACTTTAATAGATTGTTTTAATATAAAAAAATTCATCTAAGTATCTAGTTAAATAATTCGATAATCATCTATGTAAATAAACAAACAAATTATTAATAATAACCAAAAGAGAAATAAAAATAATTAAAAAATAAATGTAAATCAAGATATTGAATTATACAAAATAAAATATTCTCCCAATAATTTTGTTAAACTTATTTATTTAAATCTATAAAAGACAGATTGATATTGTAATAAATTTGTGATTTAAAAGACAAACTCAAAAAAAAGTGAACTGAATATACACATACCCTAAAAAATAGATCAAATATATAAGAAATATTATTTAAAAAATAATATTTTTATTCTAAAAACTAAATTTTATTTTTATATCAAAAAATCATAGATGAATTAGAATACTATTTTTTTAAATCAAACAAAAAACTTATATTGTAAAAAAACATGCAAAACTTGTGATATAGGTCACCATAATAAACTAATTGAAAAGAAATTGAAGAAAATAAAAAAAACTAATATTAAAAAAAGCTAATGCAAAATAATAAGATTACATGAAACCAAATTCTTAACAAATCAAATGTCAGAAAATGAAATTAGAAAAAAAAATCAATCACAGAAAAGAATCTAAAAATGAGGGTGAAAGTAAAGAAAATTAATTAGAAGGCAAATAATTGTTTTAATTGGAGAGTTAAATTGAATTGAAAAATAACTTTAACAAAAACAAAAACAAATCAAAGAAATAAGGGTTAAATAGAAAAAAATAAAACAACAAAAATTGGGATTGAAAGATGAAATTGAAAGTAAAAAAAACTTTAATAAAAGGGCCACATGAAAAATAATAATTAAAAGAATAATGACTGAAATGAAAGCTAATATATGAGAAATTGTAATTGAAGGAATAAATTAAAAAAAATTTACAAAAGGAATAAGAAAAAAATGATAAATTAAAAAATAAGAACTGAGATTGAAAAAAAAAAAAGAAAGGACAATAATGCACTTTACTTGGCATAACATAGAAAAAAAGATGGAAAAAAAACCACTTTCAGCAATAATCTGATCATCGTACATCATCACACACCATAACATGTGGAAAAGGACATGATTACATATCCAAAGAGATTGCAAAAAGTCAAGTTTGGCCATGAGGTGGCGTTACATGTATTGTCTTATTAACGTAGACACCACCAACTTGCTATCATTTTTTTTATTTAAAAATTAAAAAGACAACATAAAAATACCAAAATCTCACGTGACCCTAGTAATTAACCTAAAAACCGGTATGAAAGTACAAAAATATCCCTAAATACGAACCCCATTTTTTTTATTTTTCGAGGAAAAAAATGTACTTAAATTACATGAATAATAAAAAACCAAAAATACCCTTGTCCAACATCCTAATAATTTTTTGATTTTAAGGGTAAAGAAGTATTTTTATTGTTTAAGAATTTATGAAAAGTAAAAAAGCCATTGGTTAACAACTCTAAGTTTTGTTGACTCTAGAGATAAAATAGTATTTTTGCTATGTAAAAAAAAATAGAAAAAAGACAGACACCCTAAATAGTCTTTCGATGGCAAATGAGCTAGTGGAAAAGACCAAAGCATCACTACCCCAAGGCCTTTTTTTTTCATTCAAGGGTAAATAAATTATTTCACTATAGTAATCCATAATAAAATATTTATAGTTATAATGAAAAACACATTCCCAATAATTTTCTACTTAATTGTTTTGGTGGCCACCATTTTTAGATTGGATTAGTTTGCTTATGTATAAATTGAGTTTGTCTTTAATTAGACATTAGGTAAAATATTTATAACTTGACTAGATGTTTCCTTTTCAAGCTGCATCTTAAGATTCAAATTCAAACAATAATATAAAATATAATTTTATTTACTGCTTGTAATTTTAACCAACACTCTTAATATAGAAAGTTTATTAAATTTATTGTGTGTGTTTCACTATAACACTAGATTTGAGTTACTTAACAAGCTTAGCTGAATATTTAAAAATAAATTATACCAACATAAAAAACATTTGCAAGTCTAACAAATACAAGATGTGAACATTTTTTATCTAGCTTAAAGAAACTGAAAAACAATTTGGTCATTTCAATAATTACATATGTTATTTATAAATCATCTAATTAGATGACAGACTATTTAATATTATGATAGCTTATGTTTTATATGAAATCATAAAAAACATATTTATTTGGTTAACCAAATAACTTTTTTTTATTTTGCAATGAGTTCCATATATAATAGTATTTTAAACCATAGTTTTGCAAAAGTTTAAATAACATGCTTTTCATTTATAAAAATATTTTTTTGTTTATTCTGCATGCAAAAACCTATCTTATAGCCGCTTGTAATTTTAACCAACACTCTTAATATAGAAAGTTTACTAAATTTATCATGTGCACTTTTAATGCCATAAATAAAAGTATTTTTCTTAAATCTATCTTTTTTAAATCACATCTATAAAAGTTACTGCATTGAAAAATTATACACTAGAATGAAGAGCTACATGAACCAAATAATAAATATTGAGCTATATTTTAATGATTTTTTAAGATAATTTAAAAAGATGAATTGAAAGGGAAAAGGAAAAACCTTAAAGATGAGTGGGCAACAAGGTTTTACCTTTTTAAGGTAAAAAAAAAGTTGTTAAGGCTTTTTTTTATGGGATTTGATCTTGATCATTTACTAAAGATGATAGTGCACCATTTGTTGTGGTCTGATGGTAAGGTAGTGGTGCTAGAAAAAAAAGCAAAATAAAAAATAAAAAAAGAAGCAAGATGTAAATCAAGATTGTCAATTTCATTTTAATAAGTGTTTTGTTTTTTTGAATTGGAATGAAATATTTTGGTTCAAAGCATTTTAACATGCCATTTCAAGGTTGTATTGTTCACACACATATACATATAAAATTCAACAAACATAATTCAAATTCAAGCTAAATTAATTATAAATTATGCAATATAAACACAATGTCAAATAAATATAATTTTAAAATTTAAAATATTCCTAAATAAAACTTTAACTTAAAGTAATTTAACTTAAATAAAATACCAAAATATTATAAAGGTAAAATATTTTAACATAAATTAAACATCATCTTCCTTATTAAAATAGAAATAAGGATCTTAATCTTGTGGTGTTATATAGGGAAAGTCACCAACTAAACATTTCAATAGTTAATCATTTCTACCAAGGTTATTCTCATCATCAAAACATATCTCTTCATCC